TTCTTCTTGTTTAGAGGGGAGTTTTTCCTTCCCACTGTTGCCACTGTGGGCTCATCTGATTGTTTTGATTTTCTGTATTATTTTAGCATCTTTACCTGTCACTCATTTATAACGTTTGGGGTGTTAGGAAACAAACCAACAGACAAAGGAACACCCAGTGTATTGAGGATTGCGTTGAAATCCTATACCAGGCAAGAATGGAAAATCATTTTGTTTTCAAAACTGCAGAAATGTCTCTCCTTAGTTCCTAAACACCTAAAGAGCAAATAGAAGTGATTTTGTTTCTCTTTGTGTTTGTGTGTTTGTGTGTGATGTATATCTGCTTTCAGTTTCTGCTGCCTCAGTGTCATTTAAAATAAGGACACACACAAATCGCAATGCGCCACACAAAAGACTTGTCAATGAAGAATGCCAAGTGTCGTCTTATGATGAATTGCTTTTCTTTTTCCAGTTGCGCGCATTAGGTTTTTGCTTTGTTGTTTTGATCTCATTGATTGTCGCTTGAAATTCCACGGCATCATTCCTCCCAGTCATGCTCTCGTTACCCGAATCAACATAAACGGCATGCCACTAAAAGCTGCACCTGCAAACCCTGAAAAGCTACAGATATCAGAGTAGTGCAAGTATTTCACTGCATTGATGTCTCACTCCTGCATTCAGTGTGTCAACATCACAGTTTGAAATGCGGATTGATGGACCTTTTATTTTTTTTTTCTTTTCAGTACCAGCTTGAGATTGACCGTGGCCTCAGCCAAACGTCAGATCCTGATTTACGATCGTGCTGCCTACTCTCATCCTTGCTCTAGAGTGATTTTTTTCATTAAGTGAACACTGATAACGGGGTGAGAGATCCTGCAGGGGTGTGTACAGCTACCAGTGTGACTGAAAGTGTCTTTCTGTGATAAACATGGCTCAAAATACTCTTTGAGTCAGGAATTCCCTGACTGTTTCAAAGTAAAAGTTCCACCCTTTTCGATATATTAACATGATTGATAGAGCGCTGATTTTTTGTTTTTAGGTTATTTGTCCAAAATTTGATAGATGGCAGAGAATTCACTCTTCACTACTGTGGAATACACTCACAGCCCACTTTGTTTGGCATACCGGTTCAACAGCTTGCTAACACAAATAACTAACAGCCAATCACGTGGCAGGATCTCAGTACAGTTAGGTTGCATGCTAAAATGTTTCAACTGAGCATTTACCCCTTAGTACCAACTGGCATTATTTAAACACCACAGCCTACCTGTGTATTTTCTAACCGTGTCCACCCCTTAATGACTACAGTGTAATCAATCTTCTGATGGCTGCTTCCAGGAGGATAACACACCTTGTGACAAATCTCAAATCATCTCAAACCGGTTTCTTCAACAGGAAAATGAGTTTACTGTACTCAAATGAACTCCACAGTCACCTGGTCTGAATCCAGTAGAGCACCTTTGTACAGCAGCACTGTGTGTGCAGGAAATCTGCAGCAACTGTGTGATGCTGTCATGTCAATATGCACCACAATCTCAGAGGAATATTTCCAGCCCCAGTTTGTATAATTAAGGTGCTTTTGAAGGCAAATAAGGGTCCAATGAGTTCCTAGTAAACTGGCCAGTGAGTTTGTATAAGAAGTGAAACTTTCATGCTGAAGGTGCTGCAATTTATACCTCAAGGTTTAAGACAGAGAGTGGGTCAGGGTTGGCTGCATTTCTACGTTTTCTGTTTATGTAGCAAATTAAAAATGTTGAAATAATTGCTGTTGCTCTTTGCTGTTCTCTGAGTTACAAATGTTTATTTAGAGATAGATAGATGGGGAGATGGAGGTATAGAGACTTGGGTGTCTTTGACAAGGGTGGTCAAGAGAGACAAATGAGGTGAATGTGACATTAACACTCACACGCGATTTTCATTCTGTTCTCTTCGGTGTTAAAGGCCAAAATGCCAGGGTAGAGTGAAGTCCGCCAAGCACTGTTTACATGAAGCGTCTATATAAATAGTTCATACCACCGCACTATAGCAAGAGCTGTCTGTCTCTACGCCTCCTGTTCCTGGTGTTCCCTAGCAACTGCTTTGGTTCCCATTGACAATCTTCTCAACGTATGTGCCCACGTTTGCTTAAAATTGCCTCAGATTTTGGCAAAAATGTGTTACACAGCAGACCTGCTATATTTCACTGCTATAGAAAATCAGTTGGAACTTAATAAATGTGTCTCTTTGAGTTTTGCTCAGTGTTTAAAGGATGTGCCAAGTTTCTCCTCTTGTTTTCAAGTTCACGCTCTTGGCTTATGTGATTATCAGATCAACGTCTGCCAGGATCTGCCATCTTCTTATACAAACAAAAGTGTAGCATGTGACCAGATGTTGTTACAAGGTGACTGACTTCTCTCTACTCTGTTTTTGAGATTCACAGCCGCCACCCCTTAAATGCGAGATTGCAATCTCTCAGTCTAAAGTACTTCCAATTGTGTGAGTGCACCCACGGGAAAAGGGGTTACAGGTTTCGAATTCCCTCATATGAATATGAATAAGGAAGAAAGGAGAAAAAAAAAACTAAAAAAAAAACTAAAAAACCAGCACTCACTCAGTTTTTTTTAAGTGTATTTCCTTCTCACGATTCCCTGGGTTGACACAGGGCAAGTACTCTGAACAAGTTCATATGCATGCTATCCCAAATTACATATGAACTGAACTGAAAAATCCAAATATGAAATATTATTGAAACCTTGTCAGTATATATGGAAGAGGTAAGAAAAGAAGTACAATAGTGAGTAATATGCAGCTATTTGTAAAGCACTGTGGAGGCTCTATCATGGTTTGGGGCCAGTAGTGCTTGTGATCTTGCTAATACAGCGCCAGTATTGCAGATACCAATACCAGCACTGATATGTTTAACTTATGCAGGGCTGAGCAGTCTGAGAATTACTTATGAGATGAATAATCACCAATTTTCACATTCTGAACACATTTTAATGGCCACTATATCACTGTGATATTTTTTTTACTTTCCCCTATAATGAGATAACACAACAACAACAATCATGTATTTCAAAACTGGGTTTTTCAGAGTATCATATAAATGTGCCTGGAATGTAAAGAAGCCTGTCTCCAAACCACTTTAGATCAATTTCTGTTATTAAATGTATATTTTTTCATTTCCAAAGAAATAATTTATGCAATACAATTCAGTGAGCTACATACTGAACCTAAAGGAAAGAAACAACGTATCGATCCAATACCAATACCAGCATTAGTAACGATAGTAACAATATTTGCCCACCTCTAGCTCATACTGATGAGTGAGAAGAAGACTCTAGCTGCTTCTCTTCAGTGTAAACATTAACAGTGTGGAAATATATTTCTGGTGAATGTTAAACATACACTGTCTTGCCGTAATATATCCTGTCCTGTATAAACTGTTTTTAAATCACACAGTGGCACAGAGGCTCTGGAGTAGACCCCACTCCAAAAATGTTGCAAATGACTAGAGCCCAAATTTAGACATATTTTGGCCTTAAATGATGCTTGGTGATCGGAATAAGATGGGGCTCCAGGACACAGGGAAAGCTTCTGATACATGAAAATATGTGTAAAATAAGTGCTGCTTTAGTGTTTTTCCACGTAGAGTGGTGTATCTGACAGTAATTTTACACTATTTAAAAAAATTAAATAAATAAAAAATAAAAACCTTGTCTCACCTCGTCAATCACGGAACAGAAACAGGATTTACACAGAGCTGTGGCTCTCAGCAGGTCTCTGTCAGAGGATAGAAACAAAGTACTGATCCTTTCATGCTAATATCGATCCCATACCAATACCAGCGTTGGTATTGAAATTATCGATATTTGGATCAATACACCCACCTCTTGCTCATCCCAATAAGTGGGATGAAGATTCTAGCTGCTTCTCCTCAGTGTAAACATTAACACTATGAAAGTATATATCTGGTGAATGTCAACACCATACTGTATTGCCATAATATATCCTGACCTGTATAAACTGTTTTTAAATCATACAGTGGCACAGAGAAGCTCTGGAGTAGACCCCACTCCAAGTCCGACATATTTTGGCCTTAAAAGATGCTTGGTGATAGGAATACGATGGCTTTCCAGGACACAGAGAAAGCCTCTGATGCATGAAAATATGTTAAAGTACTGCTGCAGGAGTGTTTTTCCACTTAGTGGTGTGTCTGCCAGCAATGTCGCACTCTTAAAAAAATTAAATAAATAAATAATCTTGTCTCGCCATGTCTTTCACTGAACGAAAACTGAGTTTGCACAGTGCCATTGCTCTCTGCAGGTCTCTGTAAGCCAGTTAATATGGAGACACACCTGCGCACACACACACACAAACATCCTACTTGCCCTGTGGAAATGTCAGACATCAGTGCCTGCGCCCACCGTTTCAACGTCTGCACGTCTTTAAAAGGATAATATCCGTCACACCCATGAGCTGGTGCGCAACATTCTCTCTGAGGTTTGAACGTACAAGTACAGACACAGCAGCATATTTTTCATCTCACATTAAGTTGTGTTTGTTTTGGTGGTGGCCTTCCCTCAGGCCTTGTCACCATTACTGCACGTTACAGCACTCTGCACAGTGGTGAAGGCTAATGTCCCTCGGCCCAGATGAGTGTTACTTCATGCACATATCGTGGACAAACTGTACGTATATCCTTTCCCCCCTAAACAGTGTTGATGATCTGAGCCTGCCCTGTGGGAAGCTACATATGATTAAGCCACAGCTGCAAACTCCAAGCTCACTGTTTTTCTTTTTGCTGACATATAATGGTGAAAATACACTTCTCAGAATAATTAAAGGAACACTCTAAAAACATCAGATCTTTATGGGAGAAAAACCTCATGCTGGATATTATACTGATATGGACTGGATAATGTGTTGGGAACAAAAAGGATGCTACAACATTTGATAGAAATTAAAATGATCAACCTATAGAGGGTTGAATTAAAAGAGACTCCAAACATCAAATTGCAAAGTTGCATTGCAGCAACTCAAAATGGTATTCAGTAGTTTGTTTGGCAATAGATGGTGTCCCAAGGAATCCCCTCCCAGATATGGACCAGGGCATCACTGAGTTTCTGGTCAGATTGAGGTGCATACTATTGCCACGGCTTCTCCAGACTCTTTCATGTCTGGACATGCTAATTCTGGTATTCTATGGCAAAACACACGGTGCTGGGTAGTGAGCACAGCGTCCTAGAGTAGCGGTCCCCGAGTAGCGGTCCCCGAGTAGCGGTCCTCGAGTAGCGGTCCTCGAGTAGCGGTCCTCGAGTTGAGGCTCAGGTGTGAAATGTATAGTTTTTAGGGTTTTTATCTTTTTTTTTATTATTGTTTTTATCGTTAAATGGGTTTCCCTGGGTCTTTTCCCATGTGTTATGAATAAATCTTCTGTTTTGGTACTGGTACAGCTTTTATTTTGTTGTATTTATCCGCGACACCTTAAAGGCCTTGAAAATATCGTTGGACATAAACCGGTCTGTGGCGCAAAAAGGTTGGGGGCTGCTGTCCTAGAGGACGTCAGGCCCCCAAGCCACCCTCAGGAAGTTTTTGATTCTGACACTGACTCTAGACCAGGGGTGGAAAACTCCAGGCCTCAAGGGCCGGTGTCCTGCAGGTTTTAGATCTCACCCTGGGTCAACCCACCTGAATCAAATGATTAGTTCATTACCAGGCCTCTGGAGAACTTCAAGATATGCTGAGGAGGTAATTTAGCCATTTAAATCAGCTGTGTTTGATCAAGGATATATCTAAAACCTGCAGGACACCGGGCCTTGAGGCCTGGAGTTGCCCACCCCTACTCTAGACAAATGCACAGCTGGTGAAAAAAAATAAAAGTGGCACCCACCTGTAGCCTAAAGCTATTTCTGTTATAGGAGTTGTATCATTGTTGCTCCTTTTTCAGTAACAGCAAAGCAACTGAAACTGATTAGCACCCCCCTCTGCTACTTAACTGTTCACTTCATTATACCATCAGTTTAACTGCTTACTCTGATTGAAAAGTGTTCCTTTTTTTTAGTAGTGTATGTAGTGATGGTGAGTGAGAGAGAGATAGTGAGTCTGTAGATTACTGGTGTTGATGGCTGCAGTCTATAGAAGACATACTTCCTGTGTCCCTGACATGACACGACCTGAGTTATGTGGGATAGGTAAGGAGTGTTCACGCATACAGCTGTCATGTGAGAAGAAGGATCTGCAGTTTAAAACATGTAGTGGGATGGCGAGCCAGTAATGAAAATGTAATGTGCAGTGGAGTGTTTGACACCAGCAAGGCCTTGTTCATATCTGTATAGGCCATCTGTCCAGTCCAGGCACGTGACACTGGGAAACATCTATTAGCAGCACACTGTGTTAATTTTATACTGAATGGAGACTTTTGAAGGTGCCAGTGAAAAACACTGGCAGCAAAGCCAAAGTAAGTGCCAAACTGCTCAATGTCTCAACATCTAAATCTTGCAAATATAAGGTCTTTAAAAACAAGAGCCAAAACGATAAAGTAAACAAAGCTTAATGATGATTTACCAAAGCAATGGTTTCAACGTTTTAGAAATAAAGCCTTTACATCCCGGCAGGACTGTTTGTTTCACGCACCTTCGCCCGTAGGCCCCTCTGCTGCGCTCATTAAAGAGGGGTCGCTGTAGTTGGGTGTTTTTTTTGTTTGTTTGTTTTTTGTTTTTGTTGTTGTTGTTTTTAATCTGCGTCACATTGGTAATGAAAACATTAAAGCAAAGGAGTCTCACTCTGATTTCAAAGAAAATAGTCTTCTTTTTGTGAGGTTTTAAATTACTACTAGTTTGAGCCCTGTCATATTAGACTAAAATTAATAGATTAATAATATTAATTAAGTACCTGACAGAGTATTTACCTGCCTTAGAAAGCCGACTAATCATATAGGGAGTCTGTGTTACCTTATTTGACAGAAATCTTAGCTTTTACTGTTGTTTCTCCGTTACGATGAAAACATGCTGGTGATCTTCTTTTCCTCCTGGGGTAAAGGGCATACAAGTTTTCATGGCATGTGGGCCTTGTTTATACAATGTTTAAAGCACAAAAGTCAAATGTTGGGATAAGGCTTGGTCCTCTTTTTGTGAGAGGAGTGCGCCATCCTCTCTGAGCGTAGACGATCTCTGTTGCTGCTGGTTTTGACAGCGGTAGGGGAGCTGCTGGGGAGAGCGGAGGACCCGTGTGGACCACAGCTTGCTGTAGCAGCGGCTGAGAGGGGGGGGGGACGGACACGCACCAGCCGGACACAGACTCTGAAACACACCTACCCACAACACACACGCGCGCCTCTCTCAGCCTTTTCAGCAGCATCAACACACATTTCACTGACGGGGTGGAGGAAACAACAGTCGGGTTGCAGAAAACGGTGAGTGTTTCTCATCTCCTTTGCTTCTTTAAAGATGGAGTGGGGGGTGTGAAGGAGGGGGGTGTCTTTATTCTTTCGTCCCCCCCACGACATAATAATGAATAATGGTGCAGCGAGTGTGTCAAGTCTTGTCATCTGCCGCGATGTCCCTGTGATGCTGGCTGGTCCAGGATGCCCAGGTTTGCGGTAATACAGCAATATGGACGCCCGGTATTATTTTGGATGCCGCCGAGTATGAGGCAGACGTTGCAGTGCGTGCACTAGCCGCACTGCATCTTGAGGAGCAGTAGCATCAAAGCCACAGGAGGGGAGGGAAAGCGGTTTGTCGGTGGGCCCTGGCGTTGAATGAAGCTGCTGGTGCAGCAGGGTCGGTGCCGCCGGCCGGTGCGGGCAGGCCCGTGAAAGCGCTGAGCGGATTACTTGATGTCTGCTGGTGATGCTGCCAGCTGTAGCTCAGCTCCCCCCTCCATCCTCCCGGTGTCATTTCAAGTGTTTTGACTTAAAGGGAAGCTTAAGCCGCCCTTGATTTCATATCAGAGATTTTGAGATGTAGGGTAAGAGCTCGACTGATTATAGTCGATAAAACGAAACCATCCTACATGAGTTTGGAGGACAAAGGCACCCAGAGACGAGGACAGCCTTTAATATTTTTCAAGATTTGCTTGAAATATACATCAGCAGTCATATTACACCCAATCGTATTATTATTATTACATCAGCTAAAATGTTGTTCACCTTGCCATATAATTGTAATAGTAGCATTTTAGCAGTCATCTGTCATTAACGATTAGTGAATATTACTGAGCAAATGTTGGCCATGTTCTAATGAACTTGTGAGTTGGAAGTTTGTTAAAGTGTAGACAGTTTAAGACAAAATGCTGTAAAATGTAGAAATCTATGATTCTCAATGAGTGCACCTGAATACTGCAAAATGTGCATTTAGAAATAAAGAATACTGCAGTCACCGAAGGATTGGACAGCACTCCAACATCAGTAATGTGAGCGTTTCTGCCATTCATCTAGACGTATTACAGTGGTTATGTGAGTGCTTTGTGTGTTTGCACTTTGTTAGGATGGTGTGATGCAGTGTTAAGGGTTAGTTAGCAATGGGCCATGATGGTGTAGATGCTGTAGTGATCATCTGTATGGAATGAAATGTGCAATACAGCAGGGAGTTGTGACAAAGCTGATGTCCTGCCGCAGTCCAAGAAAGACAAGAAACTCAGTTTAGGGCACACTGGGGACAACATATGATTTTACTGTGGGGATTATGGTGGGCATGCTAAAAAAAAAAGTATAATGCATCCAAACAGCTGTCAGTATTATACATTAAAGCGTAGAATCAATACAGAACATTTCTGCTGTTGTATAGATGTAGGCAGGATGAAAAGTAAATAATTGTTTAAATTCTACTAGTTCTGACTGTAATTTAACAGACAAGTTGCTTACAGTGTGGGGCTGCAGATGTGAATGTGCTGGAAACTGTTCTGAAGCTACAGCATGGTCTGTGTCTGTGGATGAGATGAAGGTGGAGCTGAATAAACAGAACGTATTTGCTATAACAGCACAAGTGTGGGAAAAAAGTTGATATAGCATAGTATTGCAGTATTTTGCATGACGGTGTGTCGATACAGGAACACCAAATAGCAGTATTTTTTTTTTAAATAAATTTTATTTCTCTGAATATTATGAACAAGAGGGCTCATCTCATGCACCGCTATCCTGGGATAATGTTAGTTGAGCAAATTTACTTTAAATCTGCTCAGCCGAAAAACCGTCCCACTGCTGCCTCCTAATTCAGAGCAAGCTAATAGTTCAGTCACAAGTACCAGTTTTGGTTGTAATTGCACAGGTTGCTTGATAGGAGGCAACATTTCTGCAAACAGATGCAGTTTGACATAATTGTAACAGTTAAATGTGAACATCTGTCTATGCAGATATGATAGACAGAAATGTAGATAACAAATATATGTCGATAGAAAATATGGGATTTTTTGACAATTTATCACAGTTAATTGTTGTAATATCATGAAGAAATTGCATGAAATTGCTAACGTGATCCCATTCTATTGCAGACTGATATCTGATTGATATCAGATATCACCAAATGTTGATATTTTATTAAATAAAATATCATATCATACCATAACATCATATCACGAATGAAATATTGTGATAGTGTTCTGTTGTGGGATTCCCACCTCTACATAATATAGACTCAAATGTAAATGCAATGTAATGTAAATGACTGCAACCCTGATTTGCTTATTCATTGTGATTTCAAGGAGCTGAGCCCAGTGTCCCTGTTATGCAGTGAAAAACAAACAAACAAGCACTGCTCTTTGCATAGTGTTTAATTAAATGCATACATGCTTGTTCTGTATGCTGCAGAAAGTCACCAGTGACTTCAACACCTGGCTGCAAAACAGTCCATGAGTGGGTAGAATCTTTTTGGAGGCAATAAGAATGGCACTGTGTGTCACTGCAGAATTTAAAGTGTGAGTTTTGTGGGGGTTTTCCTTGGGGTACTAACATTTGCAGCATGATTCATTATGACTTGATGCCGTGTGCCCACTCTGACCCAGGGGCACTACCAAGGGGGGGCCAAGGGGGGCACTGGCCACACCCAAAATTTGCTAGCGCCCCCTGGCATGACTATCCAAAGATTGTAATAATTTTAGTAAACGTGAGCACAAGCGAGAAGAAGACAGCCTACAATGAGTTGAAACATTAACTTGTTATTTATTACTGCATTACATATGCATATGCATATGCAGTTTTTGTCATTCATATTATGTCACTTTATCTTCTGTTTTTGGTGTGCCACCCCAATATTTTGTAGCCCCCATATGGTCACCCCTATGAAAAAATTCTGAAAAAAATTGACCCTGCATAGGAAAGGACTTTAGAGCACAGAAAATATTTGCAGGTTTAATAATTGTTGCAGTAAACAGGAAGCCTATAATTGTGGCGGCACCAGAATGCTAATATCAACCTGCTAACCTACATTTCGAAAGCTCCAGTCAGCATTTAACTCTCTGTTCTTTTATAATCTCCAGGAAAACACAGCGAGAGCTGAGACTGCAAGAAAACATATCTAACTTTAACTGCCTTTAAGGTTTTAATTTCTTCTAAAACGTACGTGACGAAGCTCTCTGCAGTTATACGATCTCCTGCCAAAGCCAGCCCATGTTAGGAGGGAAAAAAATACACAGGTGAGAATTAATAGGGAAAAAAAAAAGATTGTACACAGTTGTAACTGACAGGTACTGAATTATATTAAAGCTTTTCACTGAAAACATTTTGACAAGTCGCAGCACGGAAAAGCACAGGTTTGAAAAATGAAATGAAAAGTCTGAACTACATCAAGACACTTGAATATAACAGTACCGCTATTACATGTCGCCTCAGCTTTTATATAACGAGTCAACAATTCCTTCAGGTCCTTTTCTTCATCATTTAAAAATGTTACCTAAAATAATCTTCTCTTTTAAAAGTAGCGAACACCGGGTTTGTTTAAATGTTCTTGCAGCTGTAAATAGTGTTATAATGGTAGTACTATAATTGTTATCCCATGGCATGGCAGGTGTTGCATGTTGGCACTGTGGGCATGACTGCTGTTGGTGAGCTTTTCCCCCATGAGACATCAGACGACATAGCTCCAGTCTCCTGTGAAAACTCCCCGGCTTGTCAGAGCAGTGCCAGCACTGAGCCATTACTCATGGCAGATGCACTGTCACCATCACTCTCCCGCTCTCCCATTTATCCACAGCCCATTAGACGAGAAGTCAGGCGATGGAGCTCGAAGTTTTGGTTTCGGTGTATTCTCATTCTAACCGCTGTCGACTCAAATGATCGAACGATCTAGAAACCAGAGACAGGTATGATGTTGTTTTCAGACTGATTGGGGATCAGGGTTCAGGTCAGCTTCCTTATATAACACCAAGGATTTAAATTAGTTTCATTCTCTGAAAAGGTTTTCTTTTCCATAGTATAGCTGTGATTAGAGCTAGAGGTTATTACAGTGGAAGATAACCTCAAGGAAGAATTACAGGCATAATTAGGTCAACTTTTAATATATGTGCATGAAGCGAATGGCCACTTTGTTAGATACACCCGTTCAACTGCTCATTAACTAAATTATCCAAACAGCAAATCACGCAGCGGCAACTTAGTGTATTTAGGTATGTAGACATGATAAATGTGACCCGTTGAAGTTCAAATTGGGCTTCAGAATGGGGAAGAAAGGTCACTTAATTGACTTTGACAGTAGCATAGGTGTTGGTGGCAGACTGGCTGTTCTGAGTATTGCAGAAACTGCTTATTTACTGCGATTTCCCCCACACAGTCAACTCTATGGTTTACAAAGAATGGTCAGAAAAAGAGAAAAAAATGCATGAATGCACATTATGTTAAACCTTGAAGCAGGTGGGCTATAGCAGCAGAAGACCACAACTGGTACCACTCAAGTCAGCTAAGAAGCTGAATCTGAGGCCATGGTTTACACAGCCTCACACACACAGCCTACCCGAGTGTTGTTGCTGACCATGTTCATTCTATCTGAAGCCTTCAACCATGTTCTGATGGCGACTTCCAGCAGGATAGCACACCATGTCACAAAGCTCAAATCATTGCAAAATGGTGCCCTGAAAATGAAATCAGCTCACTGCACTCAAATGGCCTCGACACTCACCAGATATGAATCCAATAGAGCGCCTTTGGAGAGATGGAGGAGATGCATACTGTGGATGTGCAGCCAACAAATCCATCAAAGCCTGTGGGATGTTGTCATGTCAGTATGGACCAAAATGTGTGAGCAATGTTTCCAGCACCTTCTTGAATTTGTGCAATTAAGAATTAATATTGAAGGCAAACAAGATCCAACCTGTAAAGCAAAGTGCAACTAATAGTAATGATGAATTAATATAGTACATTTAATTTAATTTAATTTAATTTAATTTAATTTAATTTAATTTAATTTAATTTAATTTAATTTAATT